TATTATATTTTATGTATATAACTACATTCTTCTCAGAGACAAGTCTACATTAATTAAACTTTTCATTTTTTCGCGTATTACACATTAGTACTGATACATTTAATAATTTAATTACACATTCTACAGATAAAAATAATGAAACAATAATTCTACATAAATCATACTATGCATTACCATGCATAACCATGTGAGAATATTTCTATGTTCCATTATCAACATTATAATAAAGTTCATGATATTCTTTTTGGATATAAACAAGTTAAAAATGTACTAACGTTTTTTTTGTACTTTCAAGCACATTTAAAAAAAAAAATGATTTTATCAAACTGTAATTTTCAAATATAGAATAAAATTATGTATCAAAGTGTATAATTATAAGTGCACAAACAGTTATTAGCAAAATACTTTAAACAAAGAGTAGTGTTAAAAAGTAAAAAGGTTTGCCAGAAAATCTAGATTAGGCTCGACATTTTGCTATATAAACGCTGCTACAGTTAAGAACATCCAAAAGCAGTGCTTTTTTCTAGAAAAAAGAGGCGTGAAAATACCTAAACACTTATAACAGTAACAACTTATCATATTACTTTTATAATTATATTTGACAACATTTTGAATATTAAACTTACACTTATATATACACTGTATACAAGGCTACAGAAAGAAAATTAATACTTTTAATTGGGTCCTCGGATCACTTCGAAAAAATATAAATACTCTGGATTTAAAATTATTTTCAAATGTACTCATGTTTAATAAATCAAAATGATTGGCTTTTATTTCGAATTTTAAGACTATTTTTTTTTCTGCGTCATTAGAAGATATACTGACAAAGTACACAGTTTCAAAAGATCTTTCATTACATTAATATTATTCTTTCAATCACATTTCTTGATATGTTTTGTATCAAAGACAATGTAAGGTAATAAAAGCAAATTTTAGTAGAAAGTACAACATTCTACACGTAAATATTAGCAAGCAAAATAATCCGAAGACGCAGTTAAAATTGTAGCATAATTATACTAGTTATACAATTTTATATTATGTAGCACTTATGTAAGCCCTACACATAAATTCATTTTTATTACATTATGATTGCAACTTCTCATTGAAGAATATTATATATGTAATATGATTAGCACAATAACAAGTTTCTATGATGTGCTTAGTTATAAAGACTATAATCAATCATCACGAATTACTGTTTTAACTTAAACTTTAGAAATCTATATAATACATAACATTTTTCTATACTTCAGTAGACATATGATCAAGAATTATGTTCGTGTATAGATATTATCTCTTACATGAAGACAAATAAATTATGTTAATCACATAATTGTAAGTAAGAATATACATTGGGATTTTCAGTTTCTACCCACTCTAATTATTATTTAAAATAATAGAAGATAATGCTTGATAAGAATGACTGTATGTCAGTCAAAATTCAAATCAAATTGAATCATTAATAATGATTCGAAATATGAAAAGAAAAAAAAATAGAAAATATTATTGGCTTCACATAAAAGTTTCTGTGTGTGAGTGCTTAGCAATGCATGCAATTAAAAGTAAAAAAAAAAATTCTACATGATTTCCACTTCAGCAATATCATTGTTTACTATTTCAATAAAACTTTAGTTTGAATAGTAGTACATAAGCGTTTACTAAAAGCAGCAATCAATAATGAAAATAGAAATATTTAAATTTAAAATGATTTGAAGACACTTGTCCATAATATTATCTTCCTGTCCAGCAGAAAGATAATGTTGTAAAGTAAAATTAATAAAAATCACGTTATTTTTTCTGCGAATGTTCAACATATCACAGAATATGGAAGAATTTTTAAAAACTGTATAAAGTACAAATTTTGTCATTACTATGTGAAACTTATAATCCACCTTTACAAAGATAAACATAAAGTAACTACCTTGAAAATGCTATGATGATAGTTGCAGATCTATTTGATCTTCGTTGATCGTGATAAAAACAATAGTTGCTCAAGTTGAAGATTGGAGATCAATAAGATAGTTTTACTGAATGATCGGATTTAAGCGGTGCGATCTTCTACGCTGTCGAGATGTTCGTGTTACCGGATTGTCGTCTCCAATGCCACTGAGAATATCGGTTAGTCATCTAATAAATGCAGTTTTATAACTTTTGGTCGTACGCGCACTGCAAATCACAGAAACAAATAGTTAGTGGTTTGTTAGCCATCTCACGTGCTATTTAATATCTAAGCTTTAAATGTAGTTTATTTAAAAATTGTACGAGCGAAAATTGATAAGAATATTATTTCATTTTATTTTTATATCATTTTGGAGATTATTTTTGTATGCCTTAAACAAAAATTTTTTGTCAATGCATGCACTATTTAAGAGTAATCACAAATTCAAGCTACATGCAAATTAATGTTAGTTACAAGCATAAGATTTTTAGATATGGTTTTACATCCTTTTCTGTATAATATACGCAAAAAATTAAAGGTTGATAAAAATATATGCTATTTAAATGTAAAGTCTTTGATGAATAAAATTACTACAGATTTTTCATAATTTACTGTATGCATGACATATTTAAACATTGAGAGATTGCATCAAAGAAAAATGGGAAAGCTGTTATATGTAATTGACTATTTCAATAAAAGAAAAGGTGCAAATCACGAACTTTTAATAAGAGCTATATAACTGTTACTCAATAGAATTTTATGAGTAACAGTTACCGAGACTTACTGTCTTAAAGAATGATAGCGATTTACTCGATCTGCAGACCTGAGGATCATATTCATGCCTCGCTGCGGTTGCGTAACCGAATTGTTGCCAGACGAATTTGTAGTAGGGGTTTCTGCGATACAGGAAGTTCTTATACTAGCCCTTGTTACTGGTTTTGATACGGACATTGAAGTAACCCGAGTACTGGTAGATGTGTTGTTGTTGATATTATGGATATGTGTTGTTGGTTTAGTTGATTTAACACGACGCGGAGGTGAATCACAAGTACTGCTGACCAGCCAACTGTTTCTATAATTTTTAATATAGCAGCTAAATATAGTTAAAATATAAATCAAACTTAATACATTAATTAACTTGGTACAACAAAAAAAACTTTGTGTAAAAAAGAATGTTATCAAAATCAAAGAGAGTAGTGTGGAAATAAAAGAAAAAATTGTTACAAAAAAATAATAAATATAAGGAAATGTGAGTAATTATTAAATAAGAAAACTTAGTCGACTGACCTTTTAGCAATAGTTGTAGTAGACCTAGGTAGAAGCCTTTTTGTAGTATCTTTCTCTTTATTTCCAGCTAATGTATTAATTGTACTTTTCTGACTTCTTGTTTGTAGTAATGATCTTAAGTAAGGACTGAAAACATAATATTCGTAAATTGATTATTGCTTTATTATGGATAATAAGTTAAACTGTGGTATTATGATATTTACTGTACTAATGTTGGTGGCCCAGTAGTTCTATTAAGGGATGCATGGTTTGTTGGTAAACGTTTTCTTTTTGCTTTGATTTCATTCAATTTATCACCCTGAGTTAAAGTCGTATATTTAGTTGTACTAGTGCTTGCAGCAGGTATATGATCATCTAATGTAATTCCATCCACGCGATGCATTATTCCCGAAACATTATCTTGCGCCACATGAGCACTTTTTAGATTAGACAAAAATGTTTTAGGTTTACCAATTATAGAGTATATTCCATATTCATGCACTGGATTTCCATTTTGTGATTGTAGTGGTTCTTTTAGTAATGAATGAAGATATGCTTCTTTTCTAAAATATAAAATTTATAATTTTTCAGTATCAGAATTTAATACTACTTTTTAAATTGCAAGCTAAAGACATTTGTTTCATAATGTAACAGCCTATTAGTGAACCTGTTCTACCAAGTCCTGCTTTACAGTGAACAGCAACAGCACCATTTGCATTCTCTGTTATCTTAAGAAACTGACGCATAATTGAATCTGTTGGAGTTGAACCATCAAGAAAAAACAAGTCTTTATGATCAAATCCTGCATCTGTGAAGATTGAAGCATCATAAATTATTTTATTGAGACGTATAATTGTTGTTACATTGTTATAACGGAAATATGTAAAATATGATTCTGGTGCATGAAGTGGATATCCTGTGGAAAAGAAAACATAAGAATAATAAATCAAAAAGGGATAGAAGAACATTATTAAACACAATTTAATCTAAATCTGAATTTACCATTTTCTATTTTGAATTTAGCATAAGGACCACAAAATGCTATGAATTTACCAGGAACAATCCAATTTAAATCTCCATTTTCCACTCTTTCAAAATATTCATACTCTTTAACACAAAAATCTTGAAAGTCAAAAAATCCAAGTCTGTGGCACTTGTATATGGCACTAAGACATTCACTTAAGGATATTTCATACCATGGTGTACCCAGAGAAGCATCGCGAAACATTATAAATGGTGGACTGTTAGGACTACTATTTAAGCAGTCATATGCTTCCTCTGCTGTGCGTTTACAATACAATATCTAAAAAATATACACTTATTAACTATATTTTCTTTAACAAAATGAACACTTAAGAGAATAAATGCAACTAATATAATGGTATCTTACAGCATAACTTCCTATAAGAAAAGCAGCATTGACTCTCTTTGCTGGATCCATGGTTGTATAATGTATAATCTTTTTCTTTCTTAATGTTACTGCTTTGAGTTTTTTGTTAACTTTTTGACAATAATGATATAACATAGCAAGATTCAATGGACCAAAATCATCATAGAAATTTTCATAAATCAATTCATCATCGATACTGAAATAATGAATGTTTGGAGTACTCTTTGGCTTTGTCATTGCCTTTAATGTTACAAAATATAATCGATCTATAACATAAAAAAAATACAACTTACATTTTGAAAATACTTAAATAATACTTAATGCAAGTTAAATTCTATACTAAAGCTTCACATTATTTATTTTATTTTATTTTATATTTTTTAATTTGTTACCTTTTATAAATTCTGATGCACATACTAATAAGTCATTTGTATCCTCCATCATTGGTTTGTACTTATTAACTGATATTGTGAATACCAACTGAGCAAGCCTGTCATCAGTGTACCGATATAACAAAGGATGCAATTTAATTAACACAATCAAAGATCATAAGTATAAACACACAGAAGGTTAGAGTGGGTGTAGTAAAGGTAAACTGGATCCATCTACCTACGCACGGTTACATTTGCATGGGATATTTGACAAATGTGAATTCTCAATTAGAACACCGCATACAAGCGGTATGTCCTATATTGAAAAATATTTATACTTACATACACGACCGTTACAAGATTCAAACTTGGTCAATCGTGAGTTGATAATGGCTGATCGGTTACGCTTTAGAGTTCTTCCGGTTATATTATACATTCAAATATTCATTACTTCATGAATATTATTAAAATTTTTTTTATTAATCAGATATAACCGTCTTATGAAATATTGATGAAACGTTTATTTTTTTACATATACCAACATTATTATCCGCCATAAGAGCGAAAGGTAGCTTCCGAATACACTGCCATGTTGGTTGCACTCGTAATATTTAACTGGTGACAATGTATGAATTTAATGTCTAGGACAATGAACATTGTAAAACGTTCACTAATACTGCATAAAAGTCTCAGGCTAAAATACAGTTAATGTTATGTATTTATAGTACAATTTGTCGTGATAATTTTCACTGTCTTTATTTGGGATAAACCGAACAACGATTACTGGTAAAACAATGCACTCCACCAAATGAAAATTCCCTACATTTTCTATAAACTGTCATTACTCCATTTTGAATTTGATTTAAATCAATATATTTTTATATATTTTCGTAATGTTTTTACTAAATATTTTGTATTTATATATACATTGTTGTATTTGTATATTAAATTATATGTGTTAATAAAAAAGTTAAACAAACTTATAAACTCTGCGCATACATGGGTACATAAGTACATAAGTACATTCTATTACCCTGGTTATCTTTGGTGGTGTAATAAATAACGACCATAACCTAACCCGTGCCATACTTAAACAGGATAATGTAAACCTAGGTACGTACGTATCAGTAACTGGAAAACGTTGGACGGAATGACGTCTTTAATATCAATTGTATAAAACTATAAAGAAGGGACTAAAAATGGAGTGTAAAGAAAGGATTCAGAAAGATATAATTTCATTAGAACACGAAGCTTCGAAGACATTTATTTTTTCTAAACCAAACATAATCAATCCTCCTAAATCTATTAATTTTGGGATTAGTTTGGAGCAAGTATCAGACGCGTCTGATGTTAAAAAAGACGTATTTACTTTTACTGTGCCAACAGTAGTATCACAAGTTGATAATCAAGATGTATCTGTTTTCCAATCGAATATGTGTGAAAAACAATATAAACCGAAAATATTAAGAAATTCTTACAAACCAGATGTTAATGTCTTTGCACATGCAATCAAAGACACTGCAATGTTTGAACAATTAAAGAAAAATTCCAGATCGCAAGTTGTCAAAATTAATCCGGAAAATTCAATAACATGTACAAATGTACCACAATTATTACTTACAAAAGCAACAGCAAAAGAATATTTCACTCAGTTTGGAAATCTTGTGAAAATTACCATTCGCTGCAAGAAACAAATAATTACTGTTGTCTATGCTACTAAAGAAGAAGCAAATGTAGCTTATAATAACAGTGGTGAATATTTGAGAGAAAAATTTAATGTAGAATGGACAAAGTCATATACATCACCAAAATCTCCTACAAAGAAAAAAGATCTACAGAAGAACATTGTGTCACAAATTGTATCTAATTTTTTTAAATCATCTGAGGATGAAATTAAATCAGAGTTAGACTCTATGATGAATCTGGAATATCATTTAAATAATAGAAACAATTTTGATGGAACTTTAACTAAAAAAAATAAAGCATTACAATTAAAAAGTATATCAAAGTCATCGGTAAAAGTAGAAAAAGCATCTGTAAAATCTGAAAAACATAAATCTGATAGTCAAATATCTGATTTGTTACCTAATGCTACTATTGAAGAATTACAAAATATAATTCAACAACCTGCATATACTTCTGAAGATAAATATAAGGTATTAGAAGCAAGAGATCGACTTATGCGAATGAAACAAGTTAAATCACATACATTAGCAGCAGCTAAAGTAATGATTGGTACATGCCCTGATATGTGTCCTGAAAAGGAACGTTTAATGCGTGAATCAAAACGACAAGTAGCCTTATATGAACAGCTTGAAACTAATGAATATAGAATAAATCACATGACAGCAGTCAAACAATATTCCAGGTCTTCTGCAGATCAAGAAGAGCCAATGGCACATGAATTAAGACCAGTGAAATCTTTGAAAATGACTATGAGTTATTTACTTCATGAAATAGCAAATCTTTGTGATCAACAGGGAACAAATTTGGGAGAATGGTACCATTTCTTGTGGGATAGAACAAGGAGTATTAGAAAAGACATAACACAGCAAGAATTATGTTGCACAGATAGTGTTAAGTTAGTTGAACAATGTGCTAGGTTTCACATAGTATGTTCTGAAAGACTTTGCGCAGAAGAACCATCTATTTTCGATAAAAGAATAAATTCTGACAACTTAACAAAGTGTTTACAATCATTGAAGTACATGTATCATGATCTGAGAGTAAAGGGAATTAATTGTAAGAATGAATCTGAATTTCGGGCATATATTATTTTATTAAATTTGAACAATGGCAATTTTATGTGGGATTTACAAAGATTGCCAAAATGTATCCAAAAATCATCAGAAGTTCAATTTGCATTAGAAATATACTCTGCTCTTGAATCAAATAATTATTATAAATTTTTTAAACTTGTTTCAAAAACTACATACTTAAATGCTTGCATCTTACTAAGATACTTTAATCAAGTAAGATTAAAAGCACTATCAGTACTAGTCAAAGCTTACTGTAGAACTGCATCAACAGCATATCCATTATACGAATTAATTGATATCTTAGGTTTTGAAGATGAAAATGAAGCTATTTACTTTTGTGAGCAAGTAGGACTAAATGTTTCAAAAGATGGTTTACATGTATTACTAAATCGACAAAACTTTACTATGCCTGTATTAAATATAAAACAGAACAGAGCATGTAATTTAATAGAATCTAAAAGAAATGTGCAACATTTATCCATTGGAGAATGTATAGCAGGAAGGAAAATGCCAGAAAAAACTTATAAATTTCATACACCTCATAACAGTTTTGATTCACATGGTTATTTAATGCCTGATTCCATTAATGCAGAAGATCAAAATAAGCATATTAATTTTACTCCAGCTGATCCATATGAATTTATAGATGAAAACATAGTAAAAAGTGAGCAATCAGTATCAGCTTCTGAAGAAATTGGAAATAATGCAAACAGGACTACTAATGAATATACTAATGTATTAAAGTCTATTTCAACTACTGGAGCTGATACAAATATATTTACAACCATAATATCTGATGTTAATACTTCTTTTATCTCTAAAACTCAACCACATATGAGTAAACTTCAAACAAACACAAATGCATCATTGAAGTCAAAAATGGAAAATCAGAAAGATTTAAAAACGTTTAATTTAATACCGAAACAACAACCAAACGAGTCTCCTGTATATAATGCATTCAATGCTGCATTAACAACTTCAAGAAATTCTAATATATTTTCCAAGCAATCTGACCTACCATTAAACAGTAGTACACCTTTGTTTGTAACACCTGCAAATAAGAATATGTTTTCAGAAAATCTACAAGGAAACATATTTTCAAAAAATGTTACACCTTCTACAGTATTTTCCAATACATATTCAAGTATGCAAACTACTCCAACATCATCAAACATTGCAAATCCTGTGATTACTGTGACAAAGGATACCTCAAAAGTAAAGCAGAATTTCCTTATGTGCACAACAGAAGTAAAAAAACAAGCTTCACAGGAAGAAGAAGCAGAGAAGTTAAAATTAGAGGAACAAGAATTTCTTATGAAAATGCAAAAAAATAATGAAACTGCTGAAGAAATTTTAAATACTGTGCAAACAGAAATAATACAAGCATGTTGCTCTACTATAGTGAAGGAGGAAATAAATAGAATACATAGTTGCAACACATTTAGTGAGGATGTTAATAATGAGATTGTAAATGAAGTTACTTATGAAATTTGTGATAATATATTAAAAGAAGAAATTGTTAATACGCAAAAATTATATGAAATGTCAATGAAAATAAAGAATAGAGTAATTATTAAATATTTCAACATATGGAAATGTAATACAATAAGGAAGAAACAACAGAGAAAAGCATTAGAAAACACACCTGTATGGTTACAAAAGCATTCCAGTGAACAGTGTGCAAAATTATTATATACTAAAAAACAAAATTTAGTTATTGAACGTATGCTCAAAAAACGAGATGAACAGAAAAGGATTAAACCTTATTCTGAATTTTTAGCACCAATTGAAATTATAATTTATACTGCTATTAAAGAAAACTTGAAGTTTTCAGATAGTAATATACATTCCAGTTGTTATTGGAAACTAGTTATTTCTTGGCCAAATTTACATAACAAAGCACTTTTATGGCATTATAAAAAAATAATGAATCAGTACCTATGTCCTGATGATTATACTCTGGATTCTGTCATAAAATTATACCAACCAAATCAAATTGAGATGTTACATATCTGTATCAGACATTTTGAGGGTCTAATTAGTGACCATTATTTAACAGGATCAGATGCTCTTTTATTTATAGCCGATGCTTCGGAAGAAATCAAGTTCGTTGTAAAACGTTTAACTAAAACTGTATTATCAAGAGACAGGCTTATGTCTATACCTCTGGTATTTATTATTTTGGGTGATTCCAAGTGTGAACATACAATATATTTAGAAGTTGTTCCTTGTTTAGAAAAATTATTAACATCTGGGTATTTGTCAATGTATACAATTATGCATGAAAAAGATTTTACAGAGAAAACAATCTTAAATTTGACTCAAAGTGCAATACTTTGGTTATCCATAAATAAATCACCTCAGAATCCATTAGAAATGGATTATTTGCAAAATATTTATGATACCTGTTTGACAGAAGAATTATGGCTGAGGTATTGTAATGAAAGAAATGTTACTTAATTATCTTTTTCTATTTACACTTTATCAATGTTTACAGCACCTTTATATTTTTGCAGAATATTTGATGATTCGTCCTATAATGAAAAGTTACTATATGCTTTGGAGGAGCCCAAGTTTATAATTGATTTACACAATGAAGCAGTTACTCATTTAATAGGTATAATATTAGATGCAGAATCCTTTATGTATACAAAATTTGCTCCAGAGTTTAAGAAATTTATTAAAGATCAACATACAATGCCATGTGGCTATGAATACTTTGACGATATTTGGAAAAATGAAGATTATAAAGCAAAATTAGAAGCAGTGATGTCTAGCTTTAAACTGCCAGAATGGAAGTAAGGAATATTATATATATTCTTTGCAATACATTTAATGATATTTATGAATTTGGTTTAATTGATTTTTATTTATTCTAGGTATGCATGGCCTATAAATAACAGTGATGCATTTCGTCAAAGTATAACAACTTATTGTCAAGAAGCATTATTTACATCTGACAGTGATGAAATATCTTGTAACATGCTAAGTAATCTGTTCCTTACAACTGGGATTTCAACTGTATCAAATTTTATCGATGTTCTATTATACATTATTAAGAAAAAAGTATATCTCCTTGATGAAGATTTAAAAGTAATTTACAATAAAAAACATATAAAACACTTTCGAACTTTACCATGGTGGTTAAAATCTAATCTACTAGCTGAATATAAGATTGTACCAAAAAAACGTAGCATTCAAGAAGCTGAAAAAGAAAATAAAGTGAGAAATGATATTAATGAACCAGTGGTAAAGAAACGAAAGTTATGTAAGTCTCAAGGAAAGGATTGTGAATTTGAACAATTAGCAACTTTTTGTAAAAATACTCAAAGTCAAGTGATGCAGGTGCATTATAATTCAAGAAAAATTGAAAATCGTTTAAAGGAACATCAGCAACAAAGCTTTTCATTTGAAAAAAAATTAAAGAAAGCGTTGTTTGGTGACGAAGAATTCACTTAAAAACATGTAAATATTCAATTTTTTTTACTTTTCAAATGTTTATAGTACTCGGAAAACTACTGTGTTTTACAGTATTATTTAACAAATAAATATATGTATATATAATTTAACTGATATAAAAAAGTTTCTAGTATAAGTATCCCATATTGTAATTGACTTTTCTGAATACAATGTATAGAACAAATGGATAAAGTACAATATTAAAAGAATTATGAAGTTAGCTATATTGTTGTGTTCAAAATGTGTACATCTATAATATTTTACATATTTTATTTGAATATAAAAATATTTCAATTTACATTAAATAAATTTTAACGGACTTTTTAAATGTCCGGTATTTTGTTCGTTTTAAGTACAAGTTGTATGTATGGTCTAAGAATTTGGTATTTTTTAATGTGACATAATATTTTCTCGTTATCGCGTTTATAAACTTTTCGTATTTTCTTTCACAAACAATTTTGTCGTTTAATGAATTTAAAACTAAAGTGAAACAGTTTAATTATCTGAAATCCAGCAACACTATAAAATTTCCGATTTAATTAATATTTAAAATTTCATTTACCTGTTATCTGTTATTTTTTTTTAATTAAATCGTTGTTACGGTCCTTGTAATGTCTCATCTTAAATATATGAAAGAAATAAACAATTTAACTCGTATGGACGAAAATATTAAGGGCCCACTTCCACGCTGGCAAAAGAAATGTTTAGAAACATCAAATTCGAGGTATTATTTTACCATTTTGTTTTTATCACACGTGAAATGTTTTTTCAAACGAGGGGTTTTTTATCATTATAATTATTTATATGTGCAGTATCAATCTTAGTATTAATGCATCGCGAAAAATTACAAATGGATCATTTGTAAATACCACTGCAGGGAAAACACCTACGAAAAAGAGTGATACTCGAACTAAAAAAACACCTTCAAAAGGTTCTAAGAAGTCCCCAAGTATGATATTATTTTTAAATATTTATTGTAATATCCATAATACAGAATAGTTATTTTTAAATAAGAAAAATTGTATGTTCTTTTCTGAACACTATCTAATTAAGTTATACTTCTTCTACACCAGCTAAAACACCTAGTGGTGGTGATAGATTTATTCCTTCAAGATCAACTACTAATTTTGATCTTGGTTATTATAAGGTACTTATTTTTTTTTTTTTTTAGTATAGATTTATTATCGCAATATAACAGCAACATTCATTAAATGTGAAGTTTTTTCATTTCAGATTCAGCAACAAGCAAATGTAGAAAAAGATGAAGAAAAAATTGACAATGCAAGTCCTTCTAAAAGGGAAATGCAGCGACTTATAGCAGAAAATTTACATGGTGGTGATATTAATAACATGAGAGTTTTATCATATCAAAACAAAGCTCCAGCTCCACCAGAAGGTTATCAAAATCCATTACGTGTTGTGTACAGTCAAAGTAAGACACCAGCTAGTGTGAAAGCTTCTACAAGATATATTCCACAAACTCCTGATAGAATATTGGATGCTCCAGAAATTATTGATGATTATTGTAAGAACATTTTATATCACATTATGTATATGTGTAATATTTCTTACCAAACAATAATACAAATTTGTAATCATATTTCAGATTTGAATTTGATTGATTGGTCAGAGAGTAATATTTTAGCTGTAGCATTAGGTGCTAATGTATATTTGTGGAATGCTGCAACAGGGACAATAGAACAATTATTACAATTAGAAGGAAATGACTATGTTTGCTCTGTTGCATGGATTCAAGAAGGTCCTTATTTAGCTGTAGGCACTACAGTTGGAAATACAGAATTGTGGGATTGCAGTCAAACAAAAAGGGTACGTGTAATGAATGGTCATGCAGCTAGAGTTGGGTCTCTTTCTTGGAACTCACATGTTTTGACAAGTGGATGCAGGTATGAACTTTTGTCATATAATTTGTTTATATATATAAAAAACTTTATGCATGTATGTACATATATCATACAGAGCAGGACAAATAGTACATCATGATGTTAGACAAAGGGACCACCTGATATCAACAATTAACGCACATGCCCAAGAAGTATGTGGTTTAAAGTGGTCACCTGATGGAAAATATTTAGCAAGTGGTGGTAATGATAATATGCTTCAAATATGGCCATCAATACCTGGACAGAGTTATGCACAAACTGAACCAATTTATTCATTAAATCAACATCAGGCTGCTGTAAAAGCACTTGCATGGTGTCCATGGCAGAACAATATTCTTGCCAGCGGAGGTGGTACTGCCGATAGAACTATTCGATTTTGGAATTGTAATACAGGTAAAGAAAAGAACGACTAGATACGTGCATTTACCATACATGATAATAAAAATATCGATTTAATTTAAATCCTACTTTTGTATTAATTTTCGTATAATAGGTGGGTGTTTAAATACGGTAGATACGAAGTCACAGGTATGTTCTTTGCTTTGGTCTACAACGTATAAAGAGATCGTATCCGGTCATGGATATGCACAAAATCAGTTAACAATTTGGAAATATCCCGTAATGACGAAAGTTGCAGAACTTACAGGACATTCTAGTCGAGTTTTACACTTAGCAATGTCTCCTGATGGCACTACAATACTTAGTGCAGGAGCTGATGAAACTTTAAGACTATGGAAATGTTTCCAATCTGATCCGCATAAAAAGAAGGAGAGTCATGAAATAAAGTCTGTCGCTACTAGACTCAAACAATCGATTCGATAATGTTTTTATGTCAATAGGCGAAATAAGCATTTATATTTATTTTTTAATGAGAAATCCGACCAATTACTTATACTTTGATACATGTAGCGATTAATAATGTAATTTCCTATGTTGTTCACTGTTCATCGATGTATTTAAAAAAAGAAAAAACAAAGATAATTGAAACCTGGAAGTATCAAGTTATTTTTGTAAAGATTTACAGATTTAGTTCATATGTGATTTTTGTAAAAACAGTTGTATGGATAAACGATATAAATTAAACATTACTGAAATTTCGATTTCTTTTTACTACAAATACGTCGGTGCCATTCATCGAAGTCCAACACAAAATGTACTATTAATTTTGAAAACGGTGTAAGTCGTTCAAAGGTTTAAAAGACATATTTTCGCACAAGTTACTCTTAAAATTTTGCAATGACAGAAACATTTTATTCCATAATGGAAAAATACTTTTCAATACGCCCAAACGTAAAAGTCTAAATATTTGAAAACGAGAAATAAGCCTTGCACCACTTTCATAATCACCGGTACATGTACGCATCGAAGTTTCACAAATGCATAGGTAATTTCTTGACCTAACCTTTCTTTAAACAGTTCAGGGAAACAATATATAGATTGTGTTAAAGTAGAATATAGTAAACGTCTGAAGCAATACTCGTAACTGCATTGTAGAAAGTGTTTCATAAATTTTCATAAGTGGGTTAAACAGAAATGGATGAAGCAAGTTCTAAGAATGTATTACTAAAATCACAATACAAATATAACGATCAAATTTGTCCTTTGGAAAATACAATAGATGATAATGAACATGATTGGTGGGCAAGTGACAGTGGATCAAGTACTGGTTCATATTATTCAGACACAGATAGGTAACTAAAGTTTTGTTTTTATTTTATTAAAATATATTTTATTGTATAATTTTTTCTTCATTTTAAATTGTTATAGTTCCACAGCAGAGTGGGAATCGGAAATCAACCCTAATGGAGAACTGTTTTATGTAGAATCTGCATTAGATAACATAAATGATGAACAATTTTCATTTAATGAAATAAAACGAGATTCTCAGCCAGAATTGATACGGCGTCGTAGCACAAGAGCTGGAAAACTCATGAAACTTATAAGACGCAAGGAAAGTAAACGTTTGAGCACAAGAAATAAAAAAAGCAATCTGAATACCACAGTAAACAATATAGGAAGTTCAGGAAAAGAAGGAAATACAACTAAAGAAGTCACTTTCAGAGATTTTCAAGTAAATGGTTTTAGTTGATATTTAATTATTTCTTCTATTAAAGTTTATTTTATATAAAAATATGTAAACTTCCAAGGCAGGAGAAATTCGAGAAGTTACACTATGGGTTGATCCAAATAGAAGACATAAATTAGGAAGAAGAGCTACACTGTGCGAAGCATATTTTGGAATTATACCAGGAGTGTTTTCAGATAAAACACGAATTATGGTTGCTGGATTTATACCAGATGGAGAAGCAATGAAGAATAGAAATATTAAAATTGGTGATTGGTTGCGAAGTGTAAATTCAAATAATGTTACATATCAAAATTTAGATCACATATTATCTGAGATAACTATTTCAACAAATGTAAGAATTAAAATTTACGGGATTTTATAAGAATATAAAATACTTCATCACTGTTAATTTCTATTCTTTGTTTAGGTAACATTAGAATTACAAAGGGTTGCAGGTGTTGATGTTACAGCAACATTGTCTGGATTAAATTGTCCAAAGGTAATTATATTTTAAAATTTTTAGTAGATAGTTTCAGAATATAGTATATCAAAAGATAATATGTTGGTTTTATTATTAGCAATCTGTGTTAGTACAAAGACTAATGAATAGGGAAGAAAGTAAAGATTTGATGCAGTCCATAATAGATTATCCACTTGGTGTATTGTATCTACGAACTACAGAACTTTCAGAAATGGGACCAGAACTACAAGGTGTTCTATATACATTTCCTCGATCTGAAAATAAAAATATACACTCTATTTTATGTACAGCAAGAGGAGCTTTTATAACTCTTAATCATTTATTACCAGGAATAGGAGGTCAACAGCCTACTAGGTATGATTAAATACTTATGCTACTTTACATAAATACATAATCTGTGTAACATATGTACAATCACATTTTATAGTACAACTTTTATAGTACAACAATACAGGTAGCAGAAGAGGAAATTCACATTGTCTATACACCTCAAAATGATGAGTTACTTCTAGTAGCATTGCCAAAAAAGTGGTAAGCCATAATTGCATGATATTTATATACTGTGGTAAAAATAAGTATATATTCAATTTACTTTATTTCCAATATTTACAGTTGCAGTGTTGAAGAAGCTGTTAATTTATCGGGCGATATAGTTAGAACTTTAGAATTTACATACCAATCATTAACAGAATGTTTTACACTTCAAGAAAATCACTCTTCTTTAGATCATTTTTTTATTTTAATTATTGAACAGTTATTAGATATAAAAAGTTATGTGAATAATTCGGGATTAACTACTTCTTGCATGGAAATTCATAATAATATTGAAAGTATGGAAAGTTACAAATTTAGGAGTACCTTTTCAGTTGCAAATTTTATAGAATTATCAAGAGATGCACAAATTCAGATTGATGCTGCTTTGAGTGAAATGGAAGCTATGGATTACAGAGATTGGGTATATATTAAATTAATAAATGTAGTAAATTAATGTGGTAAATTAATAAAAGATAGTGAATAATGTAAAACAATTTTGCTTTTTTTAGAATGAAGATCCTATGAATTGTCAAAGGCTATATACAATTTTAGGTAGTTGTATTTATCATAAACATTATCTCCTTGGATCTCATTTAACACATAAAGATTTGATCGACATAGAATCTTACCTGAGACAAAATTGTCTTTTAAATTTGATAAATAATGAACCTGTAAAGAGTCTTGTTATCTGGAAAAAAGTATACCCTTCTTCCTGTAATCGTGGAGATATAGAAAATAATAAAAACAATGAACCACTTGTACCCGATGGAAAATGGTACTTACTTGTCGTTGGATATGGACATGATTTATTGGCAGTCCTTTTAGAATCTGGTGGATGTACAGCAAAGTAATTTTCCATAATTTTGCTATCCTTTTAAAATTTTTATCAATAACACTCTACATTTTTTGTTCATAGACATAGTGAAACTATTGGCCCTGATGTATTTTACGTAGAAGAAGCTCAAGAAACTCTAAAGCATATACAAAAAATAGGAGTGACAACATTAGCAGCCAAGTGGATTGAATCTAACACTAGACCAGAAGTAATAGCTTATGAAGATCCTGTTTCTGTGAAGTCATCATCTAGTATCACAGAAAATCTTCTAGGTTTTATAAAGTCGACAGATGTACAAAATTTAAACGTGAAATCGTCTTATACTTCAAGTGGTAATAAAAGAACTCAAGAAATACCTTCAATTTTAAAAAAACGTAATGTAGAAGAATGTCCCGTGGTCTTGGGATCTGGTAAATAAAACTGTCAATTTACTACAAATACGAACGAAAGAGTAAATTTAAAAAGTACTTAATTTTTTTCGTAGTATATTCTTTGCATACATCAGAAGATTCTTTAAGTCAAGGAACAGGTGGAGTTAGTGAAATAAGTGATGAAGCAATGCCTATATTAGGAAGACGTGTAACAAGAGAAAAAATTGTTAGTAGATCAAGGTATTCTGACGATAGTGACTCTGATATTGATATATATAAAGTAAGCAACGTAATTAAAGTAGTTTACATTTCTTTATGTTATTTGCATATACATATATATACTTACACAAAATATATTATTGTAGAGTGACTGTCGAATGTTGAGCATGGATATATCTAATATAAGAGAAAATCTATTAAATCAAGCTGAATATTTAGCATCAAAGGTATTAACAACAGGTGATAAGAATTATTTATATCACTATGTACATTTAGATATGGTTGAAGGAATTCTTTTATCCTCAAAGCCATTAGAACATTCAGGAAAGGATCATGCTTTTCTTGTTAATTTTAACAGATGTGTTCATATTATTCACAAATTGTTATATAATACAGTAAGGTTTAAAACAATGTTAAATTCAGATATGGATAAAACTGTAATTAATAAGAGTTTAATTGCTGTTAAAGAATACGGTGTCTTATTTGAATGGGAAAATCTAACTTACTGGGTTGTTGGTCGATTGCATACAACACCTCATCCAAAGGAGCTGTATGTGTGTTATCAGGATTCGGCACCACAAAATTTAATTGAAATGGCATTTAAGTTACATTCATTGCACGCGCTAACATAAATTTCATTTTTCCTCTATCGCTTACTGTTGAAATCTTTTAACGTTTTTACAAAACTCTTAGGTAATAGAAATTTTTTATCATGTAAAATCTCCTTATCCGTCCAATGTTGATAAGTATTCAAATAAATATATTTAGAAGAAAGTTAATGTGTAACTTTGGAAGTACTTTAGACTTCTTTTTTATATTTTTTTAAAAGTACATATGTTATTGAATGTTTTTATTTTTTTATAATTGTGCAACACTTATAAAACATAATAACATTTATGTTTTATGAATGTTATTCATGTTTTAAACATGTTTATGATTCTCAGTACATTGTAATTATTTTATACAGCTTAATAAATATTTTGTACGTTTATTTAATCTTGTATCATTTTTAATAAGAGAGCATTAAAGCATAAGAAGAAGTTTTTCAATTTCACGAAAATACCCTCGAAAATGTATTCCGAAAAATTTCGAGCGTCTGAAAAATTATTGACTAATACGGAATAACTACGGAATCAACAAGTAGTGTAAGTCAATCACTTAAACATATCAAAATTCTCTAAGTCTGTATAAATTTTGTTAATATTTTTTTAATTTAAATGTGTAGTAGAAAATTTGAGTGATTAATATAGAATTTTTTAGTTAATTTGTGTGATTAATTTTTATGTAATTCTTATTGAAAGATGGTAATGTACCGTCAGTAGTCATGCTTAGCACGAAGGATAACTCGTGGAGGTATTTACCAATAGAGCAATGAGTAAGACAAGGAAAGGAATACGGGTAGACAAGGATATCACTAGATAAACTAGTTAGACAAGGAAAAAAATAAGGATAGATAAGGATAGTATTAGATACATGAGTTAGAAAAGGAAAGGTATAGAGTTAGACAAGGACAGAAAGCCATCTCGCGTTTAGTGACACAAACTACGACTTTTTAATAGGAACACAGAATATAAACAAAGGTATTAGACAAAGAACGCAATATTGTGCGAGAAGGATAGATAGAAAACGTTTCCTATTGGCTGACGGGCACCTGAGCATCACCTTCCACGGACTAAATCAAGTCGGTCAGGGAAAAATCATTAATAACTCAATAATTACGATGATTTTGTGAACTTTTGGAATTGAAGGATGAAGTGTAGACCTTCAGCAACTTTCACACATAGTTTTTAATGCACTAAACCCTTTTGATAATTAATTATTAAGTCAAGTACCTTCACGGTTTTTCAATAATTTCGTAGCTTTCTGCTAAATTCTCGTGTAACTAACTATATGCAACTGAAAGGTAACTCTCTTTTCTACATTTTCATATAATTTTTATTAACATATCCCTCATGGTTTGATAGTTATTTAACATTCTTTGGGTGAGTATTACACCCGTCGCATTCAATCGTAACGCATTTTCGTTATTTCAATAGACATGAGTGATTAATTATGCACTTTGAAGCATATAGAATGCAGAATGGACTTTTATTTATATTCTTCGATAATTTTGGTAGCCGTGAGTGACGTGGTTTATTAGATATTAGCAATTGTTCAGAACATTCGACTATACTCCCCGAGTACGATTAATAGGGGACTCTCTGGTATAATGTTTAATTACTCTTAAACTGAACCTCATATGTTAATAAAAATTATACGAGAATATTGCCAAAGGAGTTACCTATCAGACGCATATAGAAAGTTGCACGAGAGTTTAGTAGAAATCTATGAAATTATTGAAAAACCGTAAACGTATGCGGTATCGTTCCCGACATCACGTAATAAAATTGTTAATAACTAATTATCAAAAGAGTTTAATGCATTAAAATCAACAGGAGAAACTAGCTAAAGGAACAGCCTTTCGAACGCATACATAAAAGTGTACAAATTATTCGTGCAAAGTTAGAAAATTAATGAAAAACAAGAAGGATATACGGTATCCCCAACCTAATTTGCCGACAACACCTACTACAATATTTAATAACTAATTATCAAAAGGGTTTATTGCATTGAAATCTATCTGTGAAAGTTGCTGAAGGTCCATAATTTATTCTTCAATTCTAAAAGTTCACAAAATTATCGTAATTATTGAGTTATTAATGATTTTTCCCTGACCGACTTGATTTAGCCCGTGGGAAGTGTAACTATGGCGGCCCCCAGCCAATAGGAAACGTTTCTCTCTCTCCTTGTCCCACACTAGTGCTTTCCTTGTCTAATACCTCTGTTTATATTCTGTGTTCCTATTAAAAAGTCGTTGTTCGCGTCGCCAAACACAAGATGGCGCTAGTTTCATTTTGAAATTTTCTGTCCATGCCTAACACATTTCTCTAGTGCTATCCTTGTCTTCCCCTATTCTTTACCTTCTCTAACTCATTTCTTTAGTGCTATCCTTGTCTCTCTTCGCTATTGCTATCCTGGTCATTCATACTAATAATCAACTTTTAATGGGTTCAACAATACTAATGACGTAGACAGTAAAATAAAATTTCTGGTTAATGTTCAAGTACTTTAATTATAAAATAATTAGTGTTTCTTGTTAAATAACAATTTAGATGGTAGTTTATAATTATTGAAAGTATTAAATGAATTTGTTGCATGATTCAACTTAATATATTAATTACGCATTGAATAGACAATTGCACGCAGTAGATTAGTTAGAAATTGTTTATAATTTTCATTGAAAAGTTAATGTTCCTTTTGTGTGAATTGCAAGTGGAAATCTCTGACCATCACAGGATTCAAGGAAAGGATTTCGATATCAGAGGAAATGAAAAAATGCAATTATTTATTGTAAGATTGAAAATCATTTGTCTGAACTACTTATCTACGTTGCAGCTTGTCCTCAAACGGTGGCAGTGCAAGACCGAAGAGTAGTGAGGTTGGCCTGATCGTTGAACATGTATTTGGTTAGGTGATAATGTCAGAAGCTTCAAGTTTACTTCGCCGGATAATACATACATATTTTATTAATCTTTCTAGTGAGAATAAGGATGACCATGAATTGGATAAATAAGTGATAAGGGTATGATATTAGAATAAATGTTTTTTTATTTTGTTTAGAATAATATATTTGATGTCAATATGCAAAACATTTAGTTGAAAGTATTTAAAGGAAATATGTACGTGGTCTTCGAACACTGAAGAGCGGCATACGATTCTTGTGATGAATACGTTTTGGTAGTGGGAACCTGATTTTCGAATTATGGAATTGTTTCACTTGAGGTCTTCTACAATTTATTGGTTTTACAACTTCCACTTTAATAATCTGAATAGAATGGGCACGAGCACGATGACGGGCACCCATATCTCTGTAACACTGTGTTACAGCGCCACTAACAGAGAGATCCCTGTATTCTCTATACATGTTATGGGTTCCAGACCTTGAATCATATCTCAACCAAATTCCAAAATTCTTGATTTTAACTGGAGACTTTTCTGATATCTGAAAGATGGGATGTGTATGCATTTTATTGGAAACATTTAATACAAATGTTTAGCAACATTCAATTCACATAACAATTACCTGTTTGAGAGAAACAATTTCTCCAGTAGACTTCTTAAATTTTTTGAGTTGACGCAAAAAGTACCAAAATCTAGATTTTGCAACAATAGCATCAGGTGCAAATATTCTCATTTTATATAACGGTGTGGTTTTTTCCTTTGCGGTCGGCAATTTGCGACCGATGACTTCGAACTCCTTCAACTACAAAAGAAACATTAAAATATGTTTTTAATACAGAAGAAATTTTCCTATTACGGATTCAATTAAATTCAGATGTGTATGCATGTGATAAAATTTGACATATTGAAAGGAAGTCAATGAACTTCTTCGCGAGTGGAAGTATATTATATATACAGACAAAAATATCTATTTCATTTCATGTGTGAATTTAACAAAATACGATAAACGATAAACCCTTAAATCATAATTTGAACATGTGTCGGCAACCGTATCATGGTTGGTTAGGTTAAGCCGTTGTTAATACGTAATTTAACTTGATCCTTATAATTGTAGATGAGTTTTTCATAACTTAAAAAGTGCAGTGATTGCAGAAAATCTTTCTCAGTTGGTAAATTTATCATTTTTTAAACATAATTCTGAATATTTACTTACTTCACCCTTAGCCTTCATTTTGCCGTGTGTGGAATATAACGATAAACCGGAAAAAGATCACGCCATCTTTCACTAGGTCGGAAGTGACGCCATTTAATTTTCTAGTGACATATAATTCAATTTTTACGAAAAACTGATTTAAAAGAAAAAAGAATCACTGGAAAATTTTCCTGTTACAAATAATTAATTATCAAACTTAATGTGACATAAATTGAGTTGATATATTTTATAAATCTACAATATAAAAGTTTTATTTTACAATTTAACTTTCCGTCCTAATTTATGCAGTTTAAAAATGAAATAAACAGAAATAATTACGATCATAAAAATAAACATATACGAAAATTTTTATCGAACATTTTTATTGAGCACAATCATGGTTACAATTATAACTTATGCAATTTAATACCGAAATTGTACGTTTTTGTGTATAGCTACACTATCTTTGCAAATCTTTTATAACATTTTTCTCATAGAAGTCAAAAACTGTTATTATTACAAAGACATTTTACGACCTTCGATAGATATACCCACAGCTCTCCTAGTTGCTTTTATTCTTTTATTATCTATGTAATTCTTCATATGCCTCTCAAATCTATTCATTTGTTTCTTAGTACTCTGTTATAACATCATACAAATTAATGACTC